GTTACGTGTGTTAGCCATGGGAAATATAGAGTTACAGGGAAAGGGTAGAGTGATGGGTCTGGGGGTGGGATGACTTTTGGAGGGTCAGAGTGGGCTTGTTGGGCCGAATGGCCTGTTTCTACACTGTAGGGATTCTATGGACTTCTATATTGCTAGTAATGTGTCGGAGACAATTGTATATGCTGATCACAACCCCTTAAAAGTTTTTGGAAAAACTAATGGTAAAAATTCTAGATTGTTTAGATGGAGCTTAATATTGTAGCCATTCAGTTTGAAAATTATGCACATGGCAGGATGAGAGAACATAATTGCCAACACATTGTCATGACTTTGAAGGAAGATCAAGCATTTGACGGTGGGGAGAAAACTGAACTGAAATGGACTGTATTAGTGAATGTTTGCATGATTATAGAGTCAATGTATTGTATATTTATTGTTATGTATTAATAGCGTAAGACTAAAGGTTTTTAAAAATGGTATATTGAAGGTTCTTTTTTTAAGGGAGGAGCTGTGATGATACTATCTCTTTAAGAGGTTATTTTGTCCTTTTTTTGTGAAGAAAGTTTGAGACAGGTGACCGAGCAGTTTGCTCCAAAGCCAAAGAAGTAAACAGCTTGTGATGCATTGGGTTTTGTTTTTAAAGTTGGAACAATAGAAGCAGCCTGAATGGGTGGGGTCAAGCTCCATAGAACCAGGAATTTTTTTTAGTTTGTGTCTTCAGCAGTAGTTGCTGGGGTCCTGAAGCTGGACTTGGAAGCTCTCATTCTACTCTGTTACAGCTAAAAGCTGGGATTCTTTTCCTGCTGCTAGAATTTATGTGAGACAATCTATTTTACTGAACTTGCCTTTGCCAAAGGTGTGTTTATGGGATGCTACTACATTGGAACAGTTAATTAGTAATTAATGTTATCTTGTCACGCATTTCTATAGAGTTAGTTAAGACAATTCTTTTCTTTTTATTTTGTACTTTAACTAGTGTAAAAATTGTGGTTTGCTCAACATTGAGTAGTTTGACCAATTGAATTGCATCTGGAGCACACGCCTTACATTTACCTTTTAAAATAAGAAAATGTTAATGTTTTGAGGGGGTTTGTTGTAGTCCATAACACACATTTGAAAGAGTAAGAGTCATAATGGCCAAAACAGTTTAAAAGGTTAATTGCCTTCGCTTAAAAAAATGATAGATTAGAACATTTTCTACACCTGAGTTAACCTGATACGGAAACATAATTAACTGTTTGAGATAGCAGCCATTTTGAACTATAAAAATGTCTAGCAGGAAGGGTTATTTTGTGCAGAAACCACAGGAAGCAGTTCTAGGCCATGGTTCTCTGTTGAGCTAAGTGTTTGAGAGTTGGTTTTTGGTTTCTCTGACACACGAAGAGAATAGAGGAAGGTGCCCAGAAATCCTATGATCTACTTAAAAAGGCTTCCAGGCAGTTTTGATATCCTGCTGTCAGAACCACCAAGAGAAAGAGACCTTCATCTGCTTCCTGATTCTACTAATAAAAGCAACATTTGTCTACAGATGCCAATGCAGGTATTGCCCAACATTTCAACCACAAGCTCCAGGCTGGCAATGATATCCGAATGAACTGATTTTCATCAATCTTTCATGGATATAATCCTTGAATATATTTAGTCTAACTTTTTGCTACTCGAGTTACTCACAACTCTATCGTGATCACGGTTACCTTATATAGGTAGTTTACCATTTGTAAGCAATTTTCAGAAAGTCTAAGTTTAAGTAGTAGCAGTTTTGATACAAAACACTACTCAAAGAAAGGAAATCTATGACCATTAACAGATGAGAATGCTTTATTAATTCTGAAGCTGACCTGTGGAATTGAGAAGCGAGGCAGTGGTTTTGAAGTGGAGGAGCGTTTGTCTGTGATGTTTTGCTATTTTTGGTCATCTTCATTAGTAACAATCTTTGTTCTTCCCTCAGTTAGGAGAACTCCAGATCATCTTCCAACAAAATTCTAGGTCATTCCCTTAGATCTTCTTTCTCTCCCTCAGTCCTTGCATTTTATGTTTGTAGGCCCAGCTATTCTGATACTTTCCTCTTAGCAAGCCTCATTACATGCTTCTGTCTCCCATCTTAACTGAATGTGTAAATTGTGAATGTCCCTTTGTAACTTGTTCCTTAGACTCCATACTTTTTTTTTATTCAGCTGTATGGCACATGTGGACACTATAGATGAGCTTATGCTAGAATGTTTACAACTTAATTTTACCTCTCTGGACTTCCTTAGAGATTTGATCAAAAATAGACTCTTAATCCCTGTCACATTCCTTTAGCACTCCTAATTCATCTTTTGCTCTTGTTACCCCAGTCTTTGCCGTCAAACCTCCTAGCTCCCTCTCTAGCATATGCCAATGCGATCTAACTTTTCTGGTTTCTCTTAATTATACCACATGTATCCAACTATAAGATTGCTTCTTCCCAAAGTTAAAGCCAATTAAGCCTCAACTTCAAAAATATGCTGACATCACCGTTTAGTTGTATTTGCTGATAAACAAGATAAAAGGACAATGTTAGACTGCAATTTTGATTTACTCTAAATTGAATTATTCACAAGTTAAAAAGGACTGTGTATGTACACACACGTGACTATAAATTTGAGCATTCATGTGAAGGAGAAACTTCAAGAAAAACTGAGGACAGTGAATTCAGAGAAGAAAGGATGAGTTGTAATGAAAGTTGAAATCGATGAGAACCAGAAATTATTTGATATAAAATGCAAGGGGAATAATATCAATGAACTTACCTGGTAAGAAACTTGCATGTGACTTAGTTGAAATGAAAGATTTAGAATTTTATATGATGCCAAGACTGCTTTGGAATAAGGCCAGATCCTGAAAGGGGTAAATATTGCCAGAGGAATAAAGTACGAAGAAGTGTTAACTAACAATTTGGACAGGGTGAATGGTGGAAGATTTTGACAAAAGGGAAGGTGCCATCACCCCTTGGTCAGATTTGTCAAGATTATGAAATCAGTGTAATCATTCGCAATTAACTCATGGATGTTAAGGATGCAGAAAATGACAACGTAAGCCGGTCCATTGACAGAAGATGACAAAGTCAGCAATGAGTGGGACAGGAAGGAGGTTGAGATTTCAAAACAGGTGGTATGCTCAATGGGAATGTAAAAGAAGTAGGACGGAGTAGTTAGCATTGCTGCTCCCAAGAAGGCAGTGCCTCCATGGACCCTGGAGTATTAAAAGCCACAGAGAAAAGCTGTAGGCTTCTCCCGAGCATGAGTCAAATCTACTCCAAAACCTGAAATGAATCAAATCTGGGACAGTGGCAGAAGAGTGGAAAGGTTGGGAAGGTGAAATGATCAACAGCCAAAAGGACAAGAATTGCCAGTTGTGGTAATATGCAAGGTAGAATTAGACATGCCCTGAATAAAAACCAGGCAATAGACGGTAGGAGAGAACCTATAGTCTCACAGTTGAGTCAGCAAACTGATGCCCAAGTGTGGGGATGAAAAAGTCAAGATGCTTTCTTAACCTTGGATTTATCATTCAGTAAGGGGGGAGAAAAGAAATTTCAAGACAGGTAGTTCTCATTTAACATTATTTTTTTTTTTTTTTAAAAAGGACCTTTTATTTTCCGTTATTTCAGTTTTATGATGTGGGTCATCCTGCATCAGTCATCTGTTGATGATGCTGATCAGGTTCCACTGAAAACTTGAAGAAGTCAGATTTTTATTTGGAAAAAGTGGTTGACACAGTGGGAGGGAAGACGTCTGAATCTATGCTACTTGGGCTATTTTAAACATTAGCCAGAATCACACAGCAAGTGGTGGAAATGAGCCTTCTTACAGAAACCAAGGCAAACTGTTAGCCCCGCAATTAAATTGGACTGTTTTTAAATGTCTTGATGCTGGAAAATGAGAAGTGGACGTAAGAGGTGGCTGAAGCAGTCAAATGATAGTGGCAACAGTTGTATCATTACTAAAATCAGAGTTCACAATGTTTTGTGTTAGTTGTTGGCAGAGTTAGTTGTGCCAAAAAGCAGCATAATTAAACACCTGCAAAGACCAGCTGCCTTTTTAAATTGGTCATCCAAAATAAAACAAAATCCTATATGATTATTTACAGAATGAGCCAGGGGAGGGTTCTTTGGAGGTTTCGATGGGCGTTCCTATCTGCACAGCTTCAAAATGACTGATGAAGTTTGGCACGGCCTAAACATCAAGTACATTGACAATATTAAAGAAAAAACACAAAAGAACTGCAGATGTTGGAAAATCAGAAACAAGAACAGAAATTGCTGGAAACACTCGGAACGTCTGGCAGCATCTGTGGAGAGAAAGCAGAGTTAATCTTTGGTATCCAGTGACCCTTTCCTCAGAAGTTCCAGATGCTGCCAGACCTCCTGAGTCTTTCCAGCAATTTCTGCTTTTGAATCACACAGCAATATTGTCAATGCGTAGTACAAAGTCTCATTGTTGTGACTGGTCATTGTGTGGTGTAAGTTGTTATGACTCATGTGCCTGGCCTAACTGTCACTGGTAAAGAAGGATCTCGTGATGCTACCTGAACTGCAGTGGTTCAAGGAGACAGCTCATCACAGCCACCTGTGGTCATTTAGGGATGGGCAATAAATACTGGCCGATGTCATATATCCAGTGAAGAAATTTTTCAAAGAATCTGTGCCAAGGGTATCCAACTTCTTTAGTCCTGCAGCTTCTCAAAATTACAACTAACGTGTTTACTTCCTCCAACGTAAATTGGTTTTAAGATTCTAGAATAAGTCCGTCAGGTTTTGGGAACTTGTCAGCCTTCAGTTTTAAGTTCTCAGTACCTGTTCCTTGGTGATTATAATTACTTTAGCTTCTACCCTCCATTTGACCTCTTGATTTACATGTATTTCTCAGATGCTATTTTACAGTGAAGACAAACAGTCTGTTCAATGCTTCTGATGTTTACTTTGCATTATTACTTTCTAGAGTAATGTTTGGCAATCTTTATCTTCAATTTTATTTCAGGGCTCCACAAATTCTAAGGAGTTGTCAGAAAAGGGAGTTAGAATTTGGGATGCCAATGGATCACGAGACTTTCTGGACAAGCATGGATTTTCAAACCGAGAGGAGGGCGATTTGGGGCCTGTTTATGGCTTCCAGTGGAGGCACTTTGGGGCTGAATACAAGGACATGCATGCAGGTTAGGAAAGATTACCGTGCTGTACCACATCTCTGTTTATTTTAGGTTACTAGGATATTGGTATTTCCATTGGAAGAAATAGTCAAGTCAGTGGTTAGCACTGCTGCCTCACAGCACCAGGGACCTCTGGCTGCTGTCTGTGCAAACTCCTCACATTCTCCCTGCGTCTGTGTGGGTTTCCTCTGGGTGCTCCGGTTTCCTCCCACAATCCACAGGTGTGCAGGCTAGGTGGGTTGGACATGCTAAATTGCCCATAGTGCTCAGGGATGTGTAGATTAGGTGGGTTATAGGGGGATGGGTCTGGGTGGGATGCTCTGAGGCTCGGTGTGGACTTGTTGGGCTGAAGGGCCTGTTTCCACAATGCAGGGATTCTATGATTCTGTGATGGTTGAAAACTAATTTAAATGGTGGACTAAATACTTTAGGACACTTTTTTCTCATTTGCTTACTTTATGATTGTAGATTACTCTGGTCAAGGAGTCGATCAACTCCAGAATGTAATTGACACCATTAGAAACAACCCAGAGGATCGCAGAATCATTATGTGTGCTTGGAACCCTAAAGGTAAGAAACAAAGTCACAAGCTGAGAAGTCAAAAGGGTGGTGGTGGCACAGTAGTAATGTCACTGGATTATCATTCCAGAGACCCAGGCTAATATTCTGGGTGTGTGGGGTTGAATACCAAGTCAAATTTCACAAAGTCTGTGAAATGGATTTGATCTAACAAGGGGTCTCCAGCATGTTGTTACATTCATTCTGTTCAAAATCTCGTGCATTTCTCTTAAGTGTGGCTAAACAATGTTGTATGGGACTAAAGTACTAAATGTCTACAGTAGTTGCAATTGGTCAAAATAATTAATATAATATGTAATAAATATATTTTGATTATAAGTAAGCAAAATTAAGAAAGAATTATTGATTTCCTTACTGGTCCTGCAAATAATATTATTGAACTCTGTGTCCTGTCATTTAGGGCAGGGAAGTTGATTAGGGTTCGCACTCTTGATTGCAATGTAGTGAGGTACACATATTTGGCTGTCTGGTAGGGATAGATAAACTTTGATTGCAATGTTTCTCCTTTATGCCCCACCTCATTCAAACCCCTGTTAAATGTATAGCTTCCTGGTTCCCAAACTCAACAGTTTACTGTGAACAGGTGCTGACTAGCTGACTGAAGCAAAGGCAGTTGCAGCCTACAGAGTCGTAGAGTTGTACAGCATGGAAACAGAACCATTGGACCAACTCGTCCACGCTGACCAGATATTCTAAATTAATCTACTCCCATTTGGCCCATATCCCTCTCAACCCTTCCTATTCATATACCCATTCAGATGCCTTTTAAATGTTGTGATTGTATCAGCCTCCACCATTTCCTCTGGCAGCTCATTCCATACACACATCACCCTCTGTTTGGAAAAGTTGCCCCTCGGGTCCCTTTTAAATTTTTCCCCTCTCAACATAAAACAGTTGAGAGGGGAAAGATTTAAAACCTCCAGTTTTGGACTTTCCTACCCTGTGGAAAAGACCTTGGCTATTCACCCTATCCATGCCCCTCATGACTTTATAAACTCCTGTAAGATCACCCCTTAGCCTTTGACACTTCATGGAAAACAACTGCAGCCTATTCGGCATCTCCCTATAGCTCAAACCCTCGAACCCTGGCAACATGTTTGTAAATCAGTTGAAATTGGCTTAATGATGTAAGAAAATTCTAAAGTGTGGGAGATACATCTCCTGTTAGAAATAATAGATTAATATGGTCCATATTTACTGGGTCCCCTTAGTTGATTTTTCTTAATAGTTTGGTTACTGTATACAATTATTATTATAATGGTAAACTGAAGTTTATTCTTAGAATTTGACTCAGCTAGTGAACCTGACGTGTAATTTAGTCAAGCAAGCTGGAAACCGAACAGCATAGCCAGATGGAATTTATTAGAAGACTTCAAACTAGTATCTGGTGCTCAAAATTAATTTCTGTGAATATATGTTCTACTTTATTATCAGTGTTACAAAGCAAATCCCAGTGTTGTTTTGCTTTAACTAACTTGGATTATTTTTTGATTAATTCTGTAGATGTTCCTCATATGGCTCTGCCTCCCTGTCATGCTTTATGTCAGTTCTATGTGTGTAATGGAGAGTTATCCTGTCAGCAGTATCAACGATCAGGAGATATGGGCCTTGGTGTCCCATTCAATATAGCCAGCTACTCATTGCTGACGTACATGATTGCACACATCACAGAACTGAAGGTACTTTGAACTTGAAGCATTTGCATCTTTTGAAATGTAATCATTATTATGTAAGCAAATATATATCTGATGCCATGCAAATAGCAAATTAAATAAGTGACCGGTTAATAGGTTTGCCTGGTGGTGTTGATTGAAGAAATTATGGAACACATTGTACTAGCAGAACTCTGCTCTATTCAAAGAAAAAAACACTTGAAACTTTGTCACCTAGGCCACTGTACGCTTAATATCTCATCCAAAAGACAATGTCTGGAACTGTGCAATACTCTTTAATGATAATAGTCTCAATTCTTTGTTTTTTTTTAAACCCTTCCTTCTGACTTTCAAGGGTGTCCTATCAGCTAAGTCAAGTGGTAACGTGAATTAAAGCATGGATGGAATTAACGCAGTGGAAAATTTGGCATGGTTTACTATTGGAAACAGGGTAGATGTTGATGCAATCTGGATTTTGTGTTTCGTGGCAGAGCTGCCCATTGACGTTTAAGGGCTTGTTGGTGGAGATTTCCTCAAATGTAGCGTCTTATCCAGTGCAGTGCTTGTGACAGATGTGTGATGGCTGAAAGCTGGGCAAGATTGAAGAAATCTGTGAGACAGAGTCTAAAGCAATATAAATGAGATTTGAAAGTGAAATAAAGTTTGGGAAATAACAGAATTAGGGAGAGAGAAAAGAAAAAAGGGCAAACGAATGGGGAAAAAATTATTTAGAAAATGCCCAACACTTCCTTCTGAAAGGAAAACACATTTTTGCTCATTAATTATCGTGTATGTTATTTAATAGCCCTTTACTCGTGGGTTTTAAATGGGGAACGAGGGGTTAAGTACAACAACTTCAAATCTTAACAGTCATCTCAATGCCGTGTGTATCAGCAAGCACTGCATCTCTGCACCATATAGAAAAGAAGGATATGGCTCTTAGAAACCTCTAGATTTCCATGTTTAATTTTATGCGCATGTGCTCCATTAGCTGCTATTATTTGCTTTCTAATGGTATACTCATAAGGCTTTATCATTGATTCATAATGCAATTTCCTGATCAATTTAAAAAAAAATGGTGGTCATTCTGACCACTGACACTCTTTATTCTATAACCAATTTAAATACACTTTGTATGGTTTGGCAAATGTAACGGTATTCCTTAGAATAGATAAACTGTAGTGATGAATACCAGTCAGTTTCCTAATGATTATTTGCTCTTTTTTCAGCCTGGTGATTTTATACATACATTGGGTGATGCTCATGTTTACAACAATCATATTGAGGCATTGAAGATTCAGGTAAATATACTTCAATGAACTGGAGTAAACATAAATATGTTCCCATTTGCAAGGTCCTGCAAGCACCCATTCACAAATTAAGATTAAATCTACTACAACCATTTAAAACTACAAACTAAAAAGCAGATAAGTTGTTTCAGCAGTTTTACTTTCTTCTGTACATTTTACAATAAGTTGGTTTAAAGGTAATTGAATCTTGCCTCTAATTTGTTAATTTAACTGTAGAGTACAGAAAACCAGAAATATGCTAATAAACAGTTTTAATTGGATTCCAGCATACCTATTTCAATGGAGTGTCAATGGTCATCCTCCAGTTAAAAGTCGTTTTTCTAAATACGATACCAACTATTTGTACATTGGGTGAAATCAGCAATTTGTGCCCAAAATATGTTTGAAATAATGCTAGTTAGGGTATACTTCAGATTTCTGCAGAAAAATCTATAATCTCAAATTTAATTTACTGCAAAATGGTACAACGTGGCTGCGTAGGCAGCAAAGAGAAATTTCCACCATTTCATGGATTTCTGACTTTTGGCTCAAGGAGCTTCGCCCTCAGTATTTTTCTGACTCTGCTAGGCTGGTGCTGCTTCAAACACAACAGAAGCCAGAAGGAGATGGTCATTTTAAAAAAAATGCCTAGGAAGTCTTCATCTGCAGTGACACCTGTAGGAGGGCTAAAGGAACCACTAATCAGCCTTAATCCCAGACCTAGTTGCCACCGGTGTGAGCAGTCTGAGCTAGTATTTTTTAGGTGCCTCAGCTTATTAGATTCCTATAAAGAAAGTTCTGTTTATTACTTGGATCTTCTAAGTTTCCAAGAAATGTTTCAGATAACCATACCAGAGTGTCTTCTGTGTGGATGATCTTCTCAACCTTCATTGGCTGAGCTTGTCTGGCCATACTCTGTGTGAATACAGAATCAAGTAAAATGCCTGGTCCTTTCTTCCATTGTTCAGTCTTCTTGGAATCAACAGGCTTCTTGGAGAAGGATTTGGTTTTGCTACTACTTTTGATCCTGCTAGGTCATTGCCAAAAAAATGTTGTCCCCATTCACGGGATCCAGAACCCAGATGCTAGCATTCGTCCCATTAGAATGGCTGCTGTATGAATAGGTGGAAGAGGTTGGTTGGGAAGAAGAATTGCTGAGTGAGTTGGGGAGATTGGCTGCTGAGTTTGAGAATGTGAAGAATGGCTGGTTATGATGTATGGTGGTATGAGGAATAGGGTTTCACTGAGTCTTCTGTCACTGGGGACAATGGAGAGTTTGGCTGAAATCTACATGAGTACATAAGATATTTTTATGAAATACTATGAAAATTCATTTTTCATATATGCATTATAATAAAAGATGTGATATTTAATATTACTGTGATATGAGACCTTTTGAAAAATACATTTATAATTGCTGGCAAGGTCAACATTTGTTGCCAACCCTAACTGCAGTTGAGAAGGTGATGCTGAGTTAAAATGGGCTCTTACTAGAAAATAGTTCACCAAACACTGGCATGGCTTCTTCTGTGACTTGATCTATATGTAATCCAGTAGGGTTACGGTCTGTTGCTTGTACGGGCTTCATTCTGTAAACTTAAGAATGGGCCAATAGGGGTGGTGTATGAGGGGTCTAGAGAGTTGTAGTCAGAGGCTGAACAGTGATTTGGGTATTTTCTCCTTGCACAGACAGTAGGAACAATCAGGAATGCAGGTTAACTTTCCATCTGTTTTTTGAATAAATACAAAAATGACATTAGATGAATTGCTCTTCACAGAACTAGGCAGAGACATGAGGGAATGAATAGGCTCCCCCTGTCCTGTAACAATTCTGTTCAGGTGTTTGTGTCATAATATCTTCACACCCAAATTGTGGAGGCTTCTTTATAAAAGTATATTGAGAAAGTAACAATTTATTCCATTTCCCATTATGAAAGGAAACAAAATGCTTGACAAACGTGAGTCTGGCACCTGTGGAGCAAGAAACAGCATTTCGAATCCAATCTGACTTCTTCAGAAATTTAACTGTTTCTCTCTCCATATGCACCTTCTGTGTTTTTTCACTGATTTTATTTTCTAACCCCAGCATCTGCAGTACTTTGCATTTATTTTTAAAAGATAGTAGGAACTGCAGATGCTGGAGAATCTGAGATAACAAGGTGTAAAGCTGGATGAAAACAGCAGGCCAAGCAGCATCAGAGGAGCAGGAAAGCTGACGTTTCGGGCCTACACCCTTCTTCAGAAATGGGGAAGGGGAAGGGAGTTCTGATATAAATAGGGAGAGAGGGGGAGGCGGATAGAAGATGGATAGAGGAGAAGATAGGTGGAGAGGAGACAGACAGGTCAAAGAGGTGGGGATGGAGCACAGTTCATCCACTTCACCAACACCTTCTACCCCAACCTTAAGTTCACCTGGACCATCTCTGATATCTTTCTTTCCTTCCTGGACCTCTCTGTTTCCATCTCTGGCAACCACCTGGAAACCGATAACCATTTCAAGCCCACCGACTCCCGCAGCTACCTAGAATACACCTCCTCCCACCCACCTTCCTGCAAAAATGCCATCCCCTATTCCCAATTCCTTCGTCTTTGCGGCATCTGTTCCCAGGATGAGGCATTCCACTCCCGAACATCTCAGATGTCCTCGTCTTCGTTTTTCCGCCCCTCAGTGGTCAAGAACGCCCTCGACCGTGTCTCCTGCATTTCCCGCAACTCATCCCTCTCACCCCGTCCCCGCAATAACAACTAAAACAGAATCCCCCTCATCCTCACGTACCACCCCACCAATCTCCGGATTCAATGCATCATCCTCCGATACTTCCGCCATCTGCAATCCGACCCCACCACCCAAAGACATTTTTCCCTCCCCACCCTTATCTGCTTTCCTGACGGACCACTCTCTCCGAGACTCCCTTGTCCGCTCTACACTTCCCTCCAGCCCCACCACACCCGGCACTTTTCCCTGTAACTGTAGGAAGTGCTACACCTGCCCCTACACCTCCCCCCTCCCCCCTCACCCCCATCCCAGGCCCCAAGA